TCACCTCAGCCTCCCAAAGGCGCGGGATTACAGGCTGAGCCACCGAGCCTGGCTCTTTATAATTTTCTTAATAACATTTTTTTTTCTCTAGATGACTCTATTGTAAGAATACAGTATATAATACATATAGCATACAGAATATGCATTAATCAACTGTTTTGTTGGTAAGACTTCCAGTCAACAGTAAGCTACTAGTAGTTAAGCTTTCAGGGAGTCAAAAGTTATATGAGGACTTTTCGACTGCACAGGGGTCAGACCCCTAACCCCAGCATTATTCCAAAGTCAACTGTATATGCATTTATACACTTACACACACATGCATACACACATTTATTGACACATCTATTATAAATAAATATATCTATTTGTATTTTCATATATATCTACATAGAGAAAAACTGAATTCACACCAGTACCTCAATTGCAATCCAGTATCACAGTGTTCTCGTTTCTTTCCATATTTGCAGCTCCCTTCTCCAACACCAAGAAACCTGGTTTCGATGATCCTTAAACTATTTACTTATCTGATCAGGCCTCCTATTGCTACCAATATCCCCTCCCCAGCAGGTGCTTTCCTCATCCCATCCAGGCTCCAACTGCCCATACACACCACCTCTACCAGCTCCTTGTTCTGCCTGACCTAATAACCCTTAGGAAAGAAAGAAGAATAGGTGGGTTCTTATAGCAATTACTTCTTAGGCTGTTCAGAATTCTTTCCTCCTTTCTAGTTTGCTCCTAAGTTCCAGATGATAGAGGGGACTGGAAAGCTCTCTGCTGAATAAGAGGTTGCCACTTTAGTACAGAATCGGAGCATCAGTTTAGAAGAATTCAGAGATTAGAAACACCAGGTTGGGGAGCTAAACTGCATTTGCATGAAATTGAATAACCTGTTTGATTATCAAGATGGAGAGGGTACAGGCAGTGACAGAGAGGTTGAAGAAGATTAGCAAGAGTGCTAAAGGCCCCCATCCATTCCACACCCACATATACTTGCCACTTCCCATTAACTTAAGAGATCTGCTGTAGAATTCCAGTATCTAGTATGGTCCTAAGGAAAACCCATGGGACTTGAGACAACATCAAAAGAAGGAAGCAGGGAGCGTATACAGCCACAATACAGAAGTGATGATTTTTCACTAGAAAGTAGTAATTTTTCTCTGCAAGACTCGGGTTCTTTTGCAAAAGTCAGGATATTTTATGCTGAGACCAACCCAGCCCCTTCAATTGGTGGGAAGGTTGAGTAGGGGCAGCCAGCAAAAAGCCACAAGGGGACTTCCAGTTTCCGCTCTAACATACTAAGCACTTGAAAGGCATCATTCCCATCCATACAACAATAAAAAGCTAAACAAACTATAATCAATGATTTTTGTTGGATGCATCTGAGAGTTAAGGTCATCGGCTAAACTACACGCCTGAAATGTAGGGTGAGATGGAGAATCCAGAGAATCATAGCCAAGACCTGCTTCCCCTGTTTGAAGCCACTGGAGCCATAAACTGTAGGAATGAGCTGTAGGAATGCTTTAATGATCGTTTTGATTAATAGCTGGAGGCTCAGTATGAACTAGCATAAGAGT